TATCTCGTGGTTATCTAATGATGTTCTTGTTTAGTCTATATTTATGTTTTTCAAAGGAATTTTGTACATGATGATATACAAGAAAATTACAAAAAGCTTCGAAAGCTTTCAGTAGAAATTTCAAGATTCATTGAAAATGACTTGTTTTCATGTTAAAAACATGATCAATAGAAAATGAATTAGTCGGGTCAACGAAGTGAACAAGGAAAATTTTATGTGTACATTAATCTATTGTCCATTAACGTACTATCTCCGTAATTGCCCACCTCGCGTTTTGTTAGAAGAAGAGAGGCTAAAACTAAATTAGGAGGTGTAATTATGGGACGAAGTTGTAGTGACGAAAAAGTATGACACTGATTGAAAATGTACAAACGAAACAGAAAGGGGACACGGCATACACAAATGAAGTCATACGAGTAGTGCCATAATGAATGTAAAAAGAACATTAGTTTAAACAAACGTAACATTTGATATCGGTCAATTCTTAATGTTTCTTTCATTTTCATTACACTTATTATTATAACTAGATAAGACCGTAATTCCTAGAATTTATAAATGAAATAGAATTTAAAAGAATGTAAATATTTGATATAAATTTGTACATATGTTTTTTGATACGCAACATAGGTCGACTGGTAGTGTGCATAACTAACTTGTAAAATTCCACTATTCACTGTCATATTCGAACATTAGTGAAGCCTTTGGAAATGAAATACGGATATCGGCTTGCGAGCACACGTCACATCCGCGCCACATTGTGTTCATGCAGTAGTTCCAGCTATTTCAGTCATTCGTCTTTTACCACAATCTAATCAAATTTTTATGAAATTAATATGAATATTAAAAGAAAATGCATGGCACGTAACATTTTCAATGTGTTTCAAGCACATCTGTATAGATAAGACATACGCTTTCATGGATACCTGATCAGATTGTTATCTTTGAAATAGTGTATATTAATGAAACATTCGAATAGTGTACTTCTTATGTTGGACATCACTTCTTGAAATGGTAGTTAATGAATTTCATTGATCGAATTCAATCCTGTTTGAAATATTTTGAAGTAAAAGTTTCATCGATTAGTCCAGTATTTTAAGTTATCTTTTTTGGATCAAGTTTACTGGTTTCACGAATGTAATGTGGCATGCAATGTTAGCTTGAATTTGAACTGGAAATGTTGTATCATGGCGTGGACCAAAGTGTGTTCCTGGCTTAAACTGTTACGCCATTGTGAAATATGTACTATAACATTTTGCTGTGTATATATTAATGTAATAAGTAGCGAAGCAAAAAATTATACTGTAGCATGTAAATAGAAAATTCTTTATAACTTTGAATTAAATCACAGCTTCGTTTGTGGCACGTAACAGTATAAAATGTCGATATCTGCCTACCGATGTTCCAATATTTGTCAAAGGTTTCACAGTTTTGGCTCTTTCGGTTGCTGCTGTTGCTTTTGCACAAGAAGATTGTTTCGGTACTCTTCAATGAATTTTCATTTGTGTAATTTTAAATTCCTCTCTCTCGAGGGGACGGTACGGAATTCTATTCTGGATATATTTGGTAACATTCATGAAACAATGATAAGAATTGTTACATTGACCTGTTAGCGTGTCCGCCTCGGTATTGGCGTTGAAGTAATTTTTATTAAAATGATCATCCATTGTTCGTTTTAGGTTTCGACCAGCTTATCAATTTCATG